TGGCACTACTCACTCATGGGCATCCTCTTCTTCCACACGCCCGTCCGGTTGCTCGAGCTCTGCGGCTACGCGGCGCGCCGCACCCCCCACCCCCCCCTTCCGCGCCGCACCTCCTCGCCACAGCAGCCAGGCCGCACCCCAGGCCGCACCCCCCCCCTCTCCCCTCGCCAGTGCAGCGCCGCCCTGCCCGCTCACGCCCCTCCCACCGCTCGGCCCGAATCAACACCTCCCCTCCCCCGCCGAGGTTGCGATGCTCGGCGTCGCGGCGATGGCCTCCGTCGTCATCCAAGAAGGCGACGACGCGGCGCATGCCCCGAACGACAGAGTACTCGACAGCAGGACCACCAGCCCCAGCGACCGCGAGGACGACGGGTGAGCCGCGCCTATCTGGGCGCTGCTGCGGGTCGTGCCGCCTGAGGAGGCGCGCGCCGGGGTGAGGCGCGGAAGGGGCGCGCGATACATCGAGAGAGAACTTGCCGAGAGTGCGAAGAGGTTTGAGCGAGATATCAACGGCTCAACGCGTGTGTAGTCTTCTGTCGTGTACTCTAAAAAAGTATTCTTGAGGTTCACGTCGGAAGCCCTGATAAATGAAAAAAGTATAATTAGCAATATGTGAGGCTCTCTCTGTGTACTCGTCTGACTCTGTTCTCTGACACGTGACAGTCATGACTCATGAGAGCGGAGTTGAGAGCGCTGACGAGACGACAGGGACGTCACTCCACACTCGTCCGAGTGCGGAGTGGTCAGATACGACCCTATCATTGATAGCGCCTCTATCGACCTTCTCCTGTTCACGTGCCTCGTGTGTGAGTGAAAATTCTCACGATTATTTATACGGGGTGTGGACCCTGAGTTGACCAGGGGTTGTGCGCTGGGCCCTCCTGCTCGGCTCCAGCCAGTAGACAAGTCTTGTCATCAACAGAGTAGAAGGATCTGACCTCGGGGCCGATGTGACCAAGCGCTGGTAGCGTGGTTTAACCTCAAACCCATGGTCTCACAGTGTGCCGGCAGTCGCCGAGCAGTGTCGCTCACACAAGCCGCAGCACAAGTGACTGAGGGCCAGTGAGGGCGAGCCCATCGCTGTCACAGCTGTGGCAGCCGCACAATAGGCTGTGTCAACTGTGCAGAGTGTGTGAGCAGCAGAGGAGCTGCTCTCCAGGCTTCTGTCGCAAAGAGCTGCATGCCACCGAAAGCGCTGTCGAGGTTCGCCGAGCGCGGCGCAGGTTGAGGGACACCGCCACCGACGAGCCGCGCGTTGGACTTTTCACTCCGGACAAAGACGGGTACACGCACACGAGCCGCGGTCGTGTACCCGTCTTAGGGGCGAGGCGCGGGACCGTCTGTGGCGAAGTGGGTCGCGTCCCTCGATTTCCTCAACTCACGGTCCGCTCCCTCTATCTGCCGTGGATAGTCTCCCCCCATCCCCCCCATCCCCCCCTAAAAACAACCCCCGGCCCCGGAGCCCTCACTGCTGGCCCGGACCGCAAGTAGCGAATAGGCATGTGGGCGCCGACGCGGCAACACTCAACACAGAGCTCATCAGTGACCCGGCGCCCACGCCTCGACCTTCTTGGGCAGCAGCTGGTTCGACATGTCGTCTCCGTGGCCTAGGCAAGCGTATTCGCCGTGGCCCCAGGTAAAGACGGCGCCGTCGGCGGAGTCGAGATGGCGATGCTGTGGTCGCTTCCCGCCGACACAGCGACGAGGCGCCGGCCAGCAAACGCCTCGACCTGCTTGGGTTGCAGCTGGTTCTGCTCGTCGCCGTGGCCCAGCTTGCCGCAGTCTCCATCGCCCCGGCTCCAGACGGCACCACCGGCGGTGATGGCGATGCTGTGGCGGCCTGCGGCCCACACAGCGACGACGCGCTGGCCAGCAAAGGCCTCGACCTTCTTCGGCAGCAGCTGGTTCGACAGGTCCTCTCCGTGGCCGAGGCAGCCGTACTCGCCCTTGCCCCAGTTCCAGACACTGCCGTCGGCGGTGATGGCGATGCTGTGTGCCTCTCCAGCTGTTACAGCGACGACGCGCTGCCCAGCAAAGGCCTCGACCTTCCTCGGCAGCAGCTGGTCCTGCTCGTCGCCATGGCCCAACCGGCCACCGCCTCCGCGGCCGCAGCTCCAGACGGCGCCGTCGGCGGTGAGGGCGAGGCTGTGGTCGTATCCCGCCGACACAGCGACGACGCGCCGGCCAGCAAAGGCCTCAACCTTCTTCGGCTGCCACTGGTTCTGGTAGTCGCCGTGGCCCAGCATGCCAGAGTCTCCCCAGCCCCAGCTCCAGACGGCGCCGTCGGCGGTGAGGGCGAGGCTGTGGTGAAGTCCAGCCGACACGGCGACGACCCACTGATCAGCGAAGGCCTCGATCTTCTTCGGCAGCAGCTGGTTCTGCTCGTCGCCGTGGCCCAAGCGACCGGCTGCTCCGCGGCCCCAGCTCCAGAGGGCGCTGTTGCCGGTGAGGGCGAGGCAGTGGACTCGTCCAGCCGACACGCTCACAGCGCGCTCGCCGCCCAGCGTCGATGGGAGGCGGGTCGGCGTGTTGAGCTGCGTCACGCCCTCGCCGTGGCCAAGCAGTCCTGGGTTGAAGGACGGCGCTGAGCCGCACGACGAGAGCCGCCCCTCGCCGTCGATGAAGAGGCTGTGCCAAGCGCCCGCCGCCAGCCTCGCCGGCGGGTTGGACTCGCGCAGCAACGCCGCAAAGCACAGCCACCGCACGTGAAAGAGGAGAGAGACGGCCGCAACGCGAGCGATGTCGGCGGGGTCGCATTGAGAGAGGGCGCGCGCGAGATGAGCTCCGTGGGGAGGTCGAGGAGGCGGGTGGGCGGCGGCGTGTCTGGCGAGGGCGCGGCGGCGGAGGCGGCGGCGAGGCGGCGCGAGCTCGGCGCGGCGGGGTGGACATCGCGAGGAAAAGAATTCAAAAAAGAGAACTCTCTCTCGCCGACACAGGTTCGACACAGGTACCAAAAGGAGCACAGCAGACGGCAACCCCTTAGGCGCCGTCGAAGAGACCGGCCCACCTGGCCGGCCGCTCTTCCCCCGTCCCCTCGAAAGCGCGCTCAATCGCTCGCTCGTCGCACTCCACCCCCCGAGCCCACCTTGCCGCGCTGCGGGCCTCCCGCCGCCGGCCATCGCGGGACCGCCGCCCGCCGCCACCCCCCCCACCCCCCCGCGCCGCCCGCGCTGCCGCCGCCTCCGCGCGCTCTTCCGCCAGCAACCGCTCCCGCTGCGTCACCGCGATGGGCCCCTGGCGCATCCACGACAAGTCGCGGGCACGCCCTATCCAGGGGTTACTCGAATACGGCGCTCTCCCTCTGCGCAGCTCCGAGTAGTCGCCAAAGCCCCCCCCCAAATAGCCCTCCAGGCAATCGTCGCAGCACCACTCGCCTAGCTGAGAGATCTGAAGCCCATAGGCAGCAATACAATCGCCCCGCCGCATCTCCTCCTCCGCCGCCTCCATCTCCTCTCGCGAGAAGTCCCCCAGCTCTGACCAGCCCTCCCGCATCGCCCGGCGCCAGAGCCAAGGCTCGACGCCAAACCCGCGGTAAAACTCCTCAAAGCAGTCCTTGCACTCGAGGCCCATTCCTCGAGCGTCCTTTGACACGTCCAGCGGGTTGCACGCGCTCGCGCCAGCCCACTCCTCGAGCGCCTCCAGCACTAGTGCCCCGTAGACGGCCTCGACCGCCGCCTCCGCGATCGCCTCAGCAGTCGACCCGCCCACCGCCGGATCCCGTGGCCGCACAGAAGAAGAAAAAGACGGAGCGCAGGCCTCCCCCGAGGCCAATGCCTCGGGCGAACTAATGCCGGCGGTCACGCGAGCGTGGGCACGTCCAGGATCAAGCAGCGAGCAAGGGCAGCCGCCCTCTCCACCCTCCGCCGGCGGCGTAGAATCCGATGTGTCAACAGACACAGCAGATCCAACTCCGCCAGCAACAACTGCGGCCCGCGCCTCGCGGGCGCCGCTCTCCGCCTCTGGGGTGCGCGTGCCGCCGCAGCCCACGCTGCCAGCCACCGCCCCCTCGCCGCCCGCAGCAGCCGCGCTCGTACCAGCGCCGCTGCGCGAGCAGCCAGGCTCCATTTTGGAGCCTGCCGCAGCTGCGGGCCAACCTCCGGCCGGCCCGGCATCCTCCTCGGCGCTCGCGTAGCCGCCTTCGACGTCCATGCCGTCGAGAGCGGACGCGCTAGCCGCGCCGCCAGCCGCCTGGTCGCCAGCCGCCACCCCAGGAGGGGTGTCGTCCAGCGACAGGCGGCCAAAGGATGCCAAAACAGCAGCTGCTTCCTCCCAGCCCCGTCGGCCGAGAAGATACCGGCGGAGCTTCTCCGCCTGGCGCTGCTGGATGCGGAGCGAGGCCATGCCCTTCAAAGCGACCTCCTCGAGGAGGTCGCCAGCATCGCCCACGTCCATGTCCAGCAGCCGCTCCTTGTATCTGCGGTAAAAGTCGTCGGGAACGCCCGCATTCCTGAAGAGAGCCTCGAGAGACTCTCTCAGGTCGATGGCGGGCGAGGCCGCCATCGAAGGCTTGGTGCCCGGCCGCGTGGCCCCGGGCTGCGGATCGGTGCTCGCTGGTGGCTGTCGAGAGGGCAGAGAGCGGCTTCAGGCAGCCGCGGACGCACGTTTGAAAAGAATTTTCCTTCTGTCCGCGCACCCCCAGGGCTAGGGCTCTCTTGCCCGCAACCCGATATCGACCATCCGGCCCGCTGGGTGCGCTTCTTAGCTCCCCGGCCCTGGACGTGAGGTTGATGACTGCACTCCAAGTGCTCCAAGGCACAACAAGAAACTCCCTAGGCACGGGACTGGCGCGCTCTGCCTCTGGCACTAACACAGGTACACCACGGGAGCCGCCTAAGCGATTCCTGCGAGGACGGCGAGGCACTTAGCTCCGTGCACTCGACACCTCGACACCGCTCGACACCACCTCGACACCGCTCCACCTCGACACCGCTCGACACCACCTCGACACCTCTGATGATCCTAACACAGCAGAGACGTAGTCGTAGACCCATTGGAGTCACAGAGTTAGAATTTTACAGAGTTAGAAAATCAGGGTTGCAGCAGCAATACTTGGCTGGCAGTACTTTTATCCCTGGGGTGTGGGGTGTAGGGTGTGGGGTGTGGGGTGGGGTGGGGTGGTGGGGTGTGGGGTGGGGTTGGGAGGGGTGGGGTGGGGTGGGGTGGGGTGGGGTGGGGTGGGGTGGGGTGGGGTGGGGTTCTCAACTCTCTCCCTCTCCCCGTCTGGTAAAATTCTTCTGCTGGCCGCGCTGCCACCCACACATTCGGGTTCGGCTCTGGCTCGTTCGCCCGTCTGGCCAACCACCCGCACTTCGCGGTCAAAGTGTCAGGGACTGACTGCATGCCGACGCCGCGGGAGGCTCTGCTGGCCACGCTCGGCGAGGCGGGCGTCGCCACGCTAGACGAAGCTGGCGTCGGCGAGTACATAGAGGAGCTGCTGGCTGACGCGTCCTCCGGGGAGGCAGACGAGGACGTCGCCGGCGCGGTTGGCCCGCTGCTGGTCGATGTCGGAGTGGCTGCAGACGAGGCGGCGGCCGAGCCGTTGTGCGCAGCGCTGCTGGCGGCGCTGAGCGGCACGTCTGAAGCCGCCGCCGCCGCTCCGGCTCCCGCTCCGGAGCTGCGCACGCTTGGCGCCGCCGTCAACATGCTGGCGCTGGTGACGGCGGACGAGGAGCAGGCTGTGGCCGAGGTCGCCAAGGACATGGGTCCGGTGCGAGTGAACATCAACAACAACATCTCTCACGGCGGACCCGTCAACTCGCTGATCGAGGAGCGAGGAGCGAGGAGCGAGGTGTAGGGCGAGCGGGACGGCGCCGTCGGACCTTCCTGGACCCTCGCCTGTAGGAGGACGAGAGCGAGGAGGCGGTCGCCCGCCGCTTCAAGCAGGCGCGGAGGGCGGAGAAGCAGCTCAAGCGGGCCGCCCGCCGCGAGAAGGCGATCAACATGCAGCGCGAGGAATTCATGCGGGAGCTGACCCGCGAGCCGGTCGTGCTGCACTGGCGCGGCGGGGGAGGGGGCTCGTCCGACATGCTGCTCAAGGGCGTGTCGATGGACATCAACGGCCTCTCACTCCTCGACGAGGCGACACTAATGACCACTAATTAACACTAATGACCACTAATGAACACTAATGACCACTAATGAACACTAATGAACACTAATGAACACCACTAATGACCACTAATGACCACTAATGACCACTAATGACCACTAATGACCACTAATGACCACTAATGAACACTAATGAACACTAATGACCACTAATGAACACTAATGACCACTAATTAACACTAATGACCACTAATGAACGCTAATGAACGCTAATTAACGGCCTCGCACTCCTCGACGAGGCGACACTAATGAACGCTAATGAACACTAATGACCACTAATGAACACTAATGAACACTAATGACCACTAATGACCACTAATGACCACTAATGAACGCTAATGAACACTAATGAACACTAATGAACACTAATGAACGCTAATGAACGCTAATGAACGCTAATTAACGGCCTCTCCCTCCTCGACGAGGTGGACGTTTCCATCGTCTCCGGCCGCAAGTATGGGCTCATCGGCAGGAACGGCTTGATTAACTACTGATTAACTACTGATTAACTACTAATCAACCTCATGAGGGCTCATCGGCAGGAACGGCGTCGGCAAGACGACGTTTCTCAAGTTCCTGTCGGCGCACCGCTTCGACGGCGTGCCATCGCACCTGCAGATCCTGCACATCGAGCAGGAGGTGCCGTCGGGCGAGGCGACCGTCCTCGAGACGGTGCTGGCGACCGACGTGGAGCGGGCGGAGCTGCTGGCGGAGGAGGCGGAGCTGCTGGCGGAGGCGGAGGAGGGGGAGGGCAAGGCGGGCGAGCCGGACGAGGCCACCCGTCCATGCGTGTGGGATGAGTGATGCCGTGTGCTCCTTCATGAATAGGAGGGCGAGGCGGATGCCGACGACGCGGCGGACGAGGCAGAGAGGGTGGCGCGGCTGGGCGAGGTGATCGAGGACCCGTACCTCCCCGTCTCTCCCCGTCTCTCCCCGTCTCTCCCCGTCTCTCCCCACATCTCCCCACATCTCCCCACATCTCCCCACATCTCCTCATATCTCGAGGTGATCGAGCGGCTCGAGGAGATCGACTCGGCCTCGGCGCCCGGCCGCGCGGGGGCGATCCTCGCCGGGCTAGGCTTCGACGCCGAGATGCAGCAGAGATCCATATCTCCCCGAATCTCGGACCCCAGATGCGATCCTCGCCGGGCTAGGCTTCGACGCGGAGATGCAGGCACGGCCGACCGGCTCCTTCTCCGGCGGGTGGAGAATGCGCGTCGCCCTCGCCCGCGCGCTCTTCGTCGCGCCGGACGTGCTGCTGCTCGACGAGCATTGCCCGAGATGACCCGAGCTTGTGATGAGTTGTTGTGGTTGTGAATAGGTGCTGCTGCTCGACGAGCCGACCAACCACCTCGACTTGCACGCCGTGCTCTGGCTCGAGACGCACTTGCGGGAGGAAGTCTCTCGGAGGTGTCTCGGAGGTGTCTCGGAAGTGTCTAGGCTCGAGACGTACCTGCAGGGCTGGGACAAGACGCTCGTCGTCGTGTCGCACGCGCGCTCCTTCCTCAACCGCGTGGTCAGCGACATCCTCCACTTTTCGGGCGACAAGAAGATCGTGCGGTGCGCAGCTGCGCCGACGGCCAGCGCGCAGCTCTCTGCTCCGTGTGACGCCCCCCCCTCCCCCCCTCGCTTGCGCAGGTACAAGGGCGACTACGACAAGTTCGAGATCAGCCGCGCCGAGGCGCTGCGCGCCAACGAGGCGAGGCGCGAGGCGCAGGACAAGGCGCGGCAGCGCATGCCAAGGAGAGAGAGGCCGACCTCGGAGTCTATCTCCCCCATATCTCCCCATAGTTTGCGAGCAGGCGCGGCAGCACATGCATCTCCCCATATCTCCCCATATCTCCAGTTTGCGAGCAGGCGCGGCAGCACATGCATCTCCCCATATCTCCCCATATCTCCAGTTTGCGAGCAGGCGCGGCAGCACATGCATCTCCCCATATCTCCCCATATCTCCAGTTTGCGAGCAGGCGCGGCAGCACATGCATCTCCCCATATCTCCCCATATCTCCGGTTTGCGAGCAGGCGCGGCAGCACATGCATCTCCCCATATCTCCCCATATCTCCAGTTTGCGAGCAGGCGCGGCAGCACATGCATCTCCCCATATCTCCCCATATCTCCAGTTTGCGAGCAGGCGCGGCAGCACATGCATCTCCCCATATCTCCCCATATCTCCAGTTTGCGAGCAGGCGCGGCAGCACATGCATCTCCCCATATCTCCCCATATCTCCAGTTTGCGAGCAGGCGCGGCAGCACATGCAGTCCTTCATCAGCAAGTTCCGCGCCTCGGCCAACCGCGCCGCCATGGTGCAGTCTCGCATCAAGGCGATGAACCGGATGGAGTGCGTGGCCGAGATCCTCGAGGACCCGTCCCTTCGCTTCGCCTTCCCTCCCCCCGAGCCGATCTCGTCGCCTGTCCTGCAAGTGGTGGACGTCGCGTTCAGCTACCCCGGCACAGCCCCCTCCCCCCCCCCCCCCTCCCCCTCCCCCTCCCCCTCCCTCCGCCCGCGGCTCGTCCGTGACACGTCACGTCCCCGTGACACGTCACCATATCTCCCCACATCTCCCCACATCCCCGTCCCGCAGGCAAGCCGGCCCTGTTCTCGCGCGTCAACCTCGGCCTCGACATGAGCTCGCGCGTCGCCCTCGTCGGGCCAAACGGCATCGGCAAGTCGACGCTCCTCAAGGCCAGAGATACGGGGGGATACGGGGAGATATGGGGAGATACGGGGAGATATGGGGCAAGTCGACGCTGCTCAAGGCCACAGCCCTGCGCGGCACGCTCTCCCCGCGCGGCACGGCCGTGGGTCATCGGGGGCGACCTCGAGACACTTCCTAGACACTTCCTAGACATCTCCCTAGACATCTCCTAGTCGCTGCTTGTCTAGGTCATCATCGGCGACCTTGAGCCGAGCCGCGGCAGCGTCACCCGCGCCGCGCGGCTGCGCATGGGTTGCTTCTCGGCAGCACGTCGGCCTTCCCCGCGGCACGTCCCTGACACGTCCTCGACGCGTTGTCGCAGGCCGATTCAGCCAGCACCACGTCGACCAGCTCGACCTCTCCCTCACCGCGCTCGAGGCGTTCCAGAGGCAGTTCCCCGCCGCCAAGCCGCTCGAGATCCGGGCCCACCTCGGATCGATGGGCCTCGGCCTTTCCTAGACCTTTCCTGGACCTTTCCTGGAACCTTCCTGTAGGCCCACCTCGGATCGATGGGCCTCGGCGGCAACACGGCGCTCCAAAAGATGTCGACGCTGTCTGGCGGCCAAAAGTCGAGGGTCGCCCGCGAACGGGTGGCAGGAGAGGGGTCGACTCGTGGCTGACGAACGGCGCCGTGTCTTTCGCTGTTTAGGTCGCCTTTGCGCAAATCATGTGGCAGCGGCCGCACCTGCTGCTGCTTGACGAGCCGACCAACCACCTCGACCTCGACGCGGTGGAGATTACCCGAGATTACCCGAGATCACTCGACCTCGACGCGGTGGAGGCGCTGGTCTTCGCCACGCGTCCGCGACCCGTCGTCTGAGTGGTCCTGGAGCATTCGGCCCGCAGGTGGAGGCGCTGATCCACGCGCTGCAAGAGTGCGAGTGCGGCGCTCCTGCCCCGCACGGTGGGACATGTGCATGTCCGCGGTCGGTGATGTGGCGGGGACGTGTACCACAGGTGCGGGCTGCTCGTCATCTCCCACGACGAGCACCTCGTCACCTCGATCTGCGAGGAGCTGTGGGTCGCCGAGCCCGGCCGCGTCCGCCTGCTCCGCTCGCCCCACCCCGAGAGCGAGTCGGCGGTCGGCGGGTGGCGCACGCGGGTGTGGCGCGGGAGCCTCCTCGGAGCCTCCTCGACTTCCCTGTAGGCCTTTGACGAGTACCGCCGGCAGCAGCTGCGACTCGCGAAGCGGCAGGGGCTGCTGCCGCAGGCTGCGGGGGCGCGGCTGGAGGAGGAAGAGAGGGAGGAGGAGGAGCGCGAGGCGCGGGAGAGGGAGGCGGCGGCAGCCAACGCCAAGCCCAAGTTCGAGTTCTACCGCGCGGGCGTCAAGCCCAAGGCGGAGGGGGCGGCTGGAGGCGGGGCGGCGGGGACGCCGCCGGGGACGAGATAATCTACTGTCTCTTGCCATCTGCCAGAACCCACCTTTAGGCAGAGCGCCACCTCTGGTACTGCCAGAGCGATTCCCTTTCCGGATTCCGCCCTTAGCCTTGCGCGCGCGGGGTGTGCTCGCTCTGCCTGGCCGTCTTTTGTGGTCTTTGTATGTACGCCGCGTAAAGTACAAGCACACGTCGATTCTGCGATGAGGGCCGAGGCGCGCGCTCGAGACCGCGGGAGCCGGGAGGGTGTACGGCTTTTAAGCCGCTCCCGCGCCCGCGGCGACGGCCTGGGGGTGGGGCGGGCGGCGCAAGTGCGCTGCGCTCTTCAGCATGCGTTCGCCTCTTCCCACTCCCGGATCATCCGGCGCAGCGTGTGGTTGGGGGCGAGGAAGCTGTGCACGAGCGCCTCGCCCGTCATCGGGCTCGTCGACTTGGTCGCGAGCCAGCGCTCGATCGCCGACCGCTCGTACGAATGCCCGTCCGCCGCCATCACCGGGTCACTCATGAGCTCGGTCGTGATCGGGCAGATGAAGTCGGCCGGCGGCTCCTCCTCCCTCGGAGCCGGCGCCTCTGCAGCCGAGGACGGCCCTTGCGCCTCCGCCGCCCGCCTCCCCTCCTCCAGCCTCGCGCTCTCCTCGAGCGCCGCCGCAAGCTCCGCCTCCTCCGCCGCCGCCAGCGCCTCCTCCTCTTCCTCCTCTGCCGGCGCCTCGGCCTCTTGCGACGGCCCAGCGCCTCCCCCGCCGCCCTGCTTCTTCTTCTTCTTCTTGCCCTTCTTCTTGCCGTTCTTCTTCTCCTTGGCGCGTGCCTCCGCCTCCTCCTCCGCCAGCAGCTCCTCGGCGTGCCGCGCCGCCTCGGCCTCCCTCGCCGCCGCCTCAAGGGCGCGCTCACACTCGGTGTGGCCCTTCTCCTTGGCCAGCTGCAGCGCCGTCTTGCCGCTCGCAATGCGCGCCGCTGTGTCAGCGCCCGCCCGCAGCAGGCAGAGCACGACGGCGGGGTGGCCCTGCTGGCTCGCAACGTGAAGGGGCGTGGAGCCACCACTCATGGCTTGGGCGACCGCCGCGCCAGCAGCGAGAAGCAGCCGGGCGCACTCGAGCTGGCCCTTCTGGCACGCGATGTACAGCGGCGTGGCGCCGTCATTCTTGGCTTGGCTGACCGCCGCGCTGGCAGCGAGGAGCAGCTGGGCGCACTCGAGGTGGCCATTCTGGCACGCGACGATCAGCGGCGTGAAGCCGTCAGCGTCTGCTTGGTTCACCGCAGCGCCCGCGGCGATCATCAGACGGGCGCAGTCGATCTGGCCAGCCTGGCTCGCAGCGCTCAGCGGCGTGGTGCCTTCATCATCAGCTTGGTCGACCGCCGCGCTGGCGCCGAGGAGCAGCCGCACGCACTCGAGCTGGCCCTTGTAACACGCGATGAACAGCGGCGTGGTGCCGTCGTCCGTGACTTGGTCGACCGCCGCACTGGCCACGAGAAGCAGCTGGGCGCACTCGAGGTGGCCCTTCTGGCACGCGACGAACAGCGCGGAGCAGCCACGGCCCGTCGTCGCCCCCACGCTCGCGCCGCTCTCGAGCAGCAGCCGCACCGCGTCGGCCTGCCCGTGCCAAGCGGCGTAGGTCAGCAGCGTGTTCTGGTTCTGGGCCTCGAGGCGCGAGTCGAGCAGGGCCGTGAGCGCCGCGCCGCGCGTCCGCCCGGCGAGGAGGGCGCGCAGCGAGGTCAGGTCGCCCCGGCGCACAAAGTCAGCGAGGGCGCATTTGAGCGTACCAAGGGCGCGAAGCACGACCGGGCTGATGGCGGCAGTCATGGCGAAAAAGAATTCGCCCGGCCTGCCCGAGAGCGATATGCCATGTCCGCCCTGCGTTGTTTCATAACATCGAAGGCTAAGCTCAAAAAGAATTTTACAACGAGCAAACCCTGTCGAAGAGAGAGTGGATGTATTTGGTGTGTGCGTTTTATTTATTTATTTATTAAGAGAGATTGGACGTGAGCAACGATATGACTGGGCGGCAAATGATCGGAGTGGGCGTAAGAAGAGTCGTCCTTGCGCGAGGAGAGCTCGATAAACTCGAGGGGCCAAAATATGCCGCGAGGAGAGCAGAGCTGCGACGAAAGGAGAGAGCGGGGTTGCCCTGTCTGATCGGGGGAATTGCCCCACGTCCGCGTAAGCTTCCCAGGCGCGGCAGACTTTGCATGCTTGTCCCATCTCCACATCTTCTCAGGTCATACCGACCTGGGGGGGGCGTGGAATGCGGAGATAGTAACCACCCTCTGTGGTGCCCCCTTTGGCACTTTACTCCTGTCCCGCGTGACCCTCTGTCTCACATGAGTTTCGTCCCTCGATTATGTCACGCGTCTCCTCTTAGTTCGGCTCTGCCGAACTGCGATCTGTCGTAGCTGCTTTTTCTCTGCTCTTGTTTGTACTTGGCCTATACTCTCGGCCTCCTCCGCGCGCCGCCGGGCGCGAGTGGGAGCCCTCGTGCTCCCGCAATCAAACGCTGCAGCGTGCACCTCGATCCTGTACCGTGTTTGTTATGACCCCCCCCAATGAGCACACCAGCGAGGGAGGGCGAGACGATCGAGGGGTCCCGTACCATGCGGAATCGACCCTATCCAGTGCTCAAGTGCTCAAGTTGAGGCAATCGGCCTCAACCACCGCTCTGAGTAGAATGTGTGTCGTTCTGATGAGGTGATGTGTCAAACATACCTAAAACTCGAAACAACACAAGTCCCTTCCCCCCCGTTCATTTTAATAACGTTCAAACATTCGAGTAGGTAGGTAGGTAGAAAGGTGAAGAACAGCCAGGCTCGGACTGGACACCAACGCGGTATGGGTGGATGGACGCTAGACAGATGATGACGGCACGGCATGCACGAGCGACACACAGACACAAACAAGCTCACAAGACACATAGCCAGCTGGCTGCCACACACCCTGAGTTGGCGTACACATAACTCAGGGCCACATTCTTCCTGTCGCCCCACCCATTAGGTAGGTAGGTAGTAAGGTGAAGAACAGCCAGGCTCGGACTGGACACCAACGCGGTATGGGTGGACGCTGGACAGATGATGACGACACGCACGAGCGACACACAGACACAAACAGGCTCACAAGACACACAGCCAGCTGGCTGCCACACACCCTGAGTCGGCGTACACATAACTCAGGGCCACATCCTCCCTGTACATCACTTCGTGAGTGGCAGCAAAGGGAGTGCCTGTACATGTATGTATGTACAACAATAAAAGAAGAAAAACGGCTTGTGGATACTCTGCATCATCCTCGAATTGCGTGCCTCCTCCAAATGCTTGCTGGAAGCCAGCGTGAGAAACTCGCGGCGCTCATCGAATCGTCAGCGGCTCGCGCCGCCGCCGAGACGTTGAAGCAGGAGGCAGAGGAGCACGACGACGAATCATCTTTCGAGTCGATTGCCGATGCGCAGGACATCTCTGAGATGGTGCCGGCGGAGGAGGAGGACATCTCTGCGGCCGCCCCGCCCGCCGTGGCGCCGGAGTCGCCGACTACGGCCGTTCCACCGTCGCCCCAATCGGACCTCGCAGCGCAGGCTCTCCCGTCGCCAGAGCCGCCGCCGCCACCCTCGCCACTGCCGCCACCCTCTCCTCCGCCCACGCCGCCGACTTTCGACGAAGTCGAGGCCAAGGACTTGGCGCCGGCGGCGCCGGCCAAGGATTTGGCGCCCGCGGCGCCGGATAAGGAGCCGGCGCCCGCCCCGAACAAGCGGCCAGCTGCCCCACGCCCCGTCCTGCTCGGCCTCCTCCTCCTGCTCGCGTCGGGCGTCGGCCTCGGCCTACTTTTCCGCCCCTCGGCGGTCGCGGTCGCGGTCGCCACGCCCGCCCCGCCCCCGCCGCACGCCTTTGTGGTGGGCGTGCGCGCCATCTCCGCCAAAGCAGAGCTGCTGCCCGCCATCACCGCAAACGCCTCTGCCGGCGCCGCGCAGTGGGCTCGCGGCGCAGGCCTGGCGACTGGCCGGCAGGTGTCTCGCGGCGCGTCTGCAGGCGCGGCGACGCTTTCTGCCGCGGCGGCGAGCGCGTCCAAGCAAGCCTCGCGCGGCGCCGCTTCCGGCGCGGCGCTGCTCCGCGCCGCTGCGACGGCGGCAGCAACAGCGGCGGCGGCATCCGCGCACACGGCCAAGGCGGGGACGGCTTGGGCGGCGGCGGCGGCGGCCAACGCCTCGGCGACGGCCAGGCAGCGCTCGGCCCCCGCCCTCTCCGCCGCCGCGTCTGCCCTCTCCTCCGCGGCAGCCAACTGGTCCAAGGAGGCGGCACGGCGCGGCCGAAAGCTGGCCGCTTCAGGCAAATGCGTCGCCGCCGCCGCTGGCGCCGCCCTCGCCGCCCTCCCCGGCGCCGGCGCCGCCCTCGCTGGAAACGCCTCCTCCGCCGCCGCCGCTGCCGTCGCCGCCGCAGGCCCCCACGTCGCTGCGCTGCGGTCGGGTCTCGAGGCGGCCTCTCGAGGTCTCGAGGGGGCGGTGCGGCGGAGGCTGCGATATGAGTCGCACCGCGTGAGCAGCGTCTCTTCACACCGCCCGCTGTGAACAGGTGCGGCGGCGGCTGGAGATCATCCGTGCCGCGGAGAAGCGCGGAGTGGCGGAGGCCCCGGCGGAAGCGAGGCCGCGGAGCGTGTGGTGGTGAGAGGCGGCTTCCTTGGAGCAGCGCATTTCCCGCCCCATACCGCCGCGCGATTCCCGCCGGGAAGGGGTAGGGGGCGTGGGAGAGCGCGATCTCTGCTTGACGCATGTGCCCCCCTGCAGGGGGGAGGGGGAGGGGGTTGGGGTGGGGGTGAGGGGGGGGCAAGCTAGATGTCTGCGCCCGCCGTCGGTCCCACCCCGCGTGTCGAGTCCCCTCTGTGCAGTTGACCCTCTGGGGAACGGGCTAGGATGTTTACGGTGTGCCGCTGTGTGCGATCTCTGTCCGCTGCGAGGGGTGAGGGCGTCGCTAGGTCTGTATTGTCGTCGGGGCCCGAGTGTCGGCATGGCTCATCCCCACGGCGCCGGCGACCGGCGTCGCGGGCGGCTTGTTCCATCTCGTGGGGTTCTCGGGTATCTCTCTGTGTCTGGGCACCATGGCACCATGCCGTGTCTCATATGATGCATGGCGAGGCCTCGTCTCTGTGGAGGTGCACGCGCGGTGCGCGGACTGTGGTCATGATTTCTTCCGCGGGCTTCGCATGAGTTTTTTCGCGATTAAATAAATACGGTCTGAAAATAAAACCGACGCGCGTTGCGAGAGCGACAGCGAGAACACGAAATACGGCGTGTTGGCCGTGTTGGAGTGCACGAGGGGGGTGAGGGACGAGGCGGGAGAGGGGCACGGGAGAAAGGAGGGTGGAGGGATCTGAACGGAGAGGGGAGAAGGGGCTGCGAGAGCACATCCGGGGAGCTGCGCCGACGCGCAGGAGGGCTCATCACTCAGAGGTGCTTTGGAGAGGCTAACGGGCTGACGGGAGGAGATCGATCAACGAAGCGCGCGCGGCTGTGGTGTGTGTGTGTGTGTGTGTGTGTGTGTGTGTGTGTGTGTGTGTGTGTGTGTGTGTGTGTGTGTGTGTGTGTGTGTGTGTGTGTGTGTGTGTGTGCGCGTGCAAGGCGTCCGCTACGCCCAGCTCGTGCTCACGCGCGGGTGCGAGACGGCGGAGTCGCGAGACGACGAGACGGCAGACCTACCTCGCCAGACCTCGCCACTGTGGGAAGTGTCTAGGAAGTGTCTAGGAAGTGTCTAAGACGGCAGACCTACCTCGCCAGACCTCGCCACTGTGGCGATCGGACGGCGGAGCGGAGGAGGGAGATAGGAAAGCCCGAAGGGGGGGTATGCGCAGGGAGGGGGCATGGGCAGGGAGGGGGGGGGGGCGCAGCGCTCCTCCGCTCCTCCTTGGACTCGCTGGGCGCCTAGACACTTCCTGGACACTTCTTAAACACTTCCTTGTTCACACCTCCTTGGACTCGCTGGGCGCCGAAGCTGCGAGCTGCGGCGGCGACGGCCCCCGGCCTGCCCCCGCCACCGCCCCCGCCCCGCCCACCTCGTCCCCGCCGCCGCAGCTGAACCAGATCCCATCGTCCGCCGCCGCGGTCGCCTGCACAGAGGGCTGCAAGAAGGCTCACGCGAGGGGCGGCAAGCGGCGACTCCTTCTTTTGCGGCGGTCGCCGGGGCGAGGACGCTTGCGTCTGCCGGCCCCGCCGGAGGTGCGGGCCCGGCAGGCCCGGCGGGCACCGCTGCCTGCGGCGGCGGAAGGAGGTGTGAACAAGGAAGTGTCTGGGAAGTGTCTAGGAAGTGTCTAAGACGGGGCACCGCTGACTGCGGCGGCGGAAGGCCCAAGTGCAGCCCCCCGAGCGCCGCCGCCAAAGGCGTGCCGTCCGCGCCGCCGCCCGGCAGAGCGTGCGGCTGCGGCATAGGTGCGACTTGTGGCATCGGCATGGGCGAGAGCTGCATCGGTTGCTGCATCGGCGGCGGTTGCATGCTCGGCGGGCGCGGTATAGGCTGCGCCGGCAGGAACATGCCTGGAGGGAGGAGGGAGGAGGTGCGAGGTGTGAGCAAGGAAGTGCCTAGGAGGTGCCTAGGAGGTGTCTAGGAGGTGTCTAGGAACATGCCTGGCGGGAGGAGGTGCGAGGTGTGAGCAAGGAAGTGCCTAGGAGGTGCCTAGGAGGTGTCTAGGAGGTGTCTAGGAACATGCCTGGCGGGAGGACCGCTGCCGGCGGGTGGAGAGGCGCCATCATCGAGACAGACGACTCGGCCAGCTTGGAGAGCACGGCGCTGGTCGCGGCGCAAACCGCGTGCGAGGGGCCTGCAGACGAGATATGGGGAGGTATGGGGGAGATGTGGGGAGATATGGGGGAGATAGACTTGCGAGGGGCCTGCAGACGAGATATGGGGAGGTATGGGGGAGATGTGGGGAGATATGGGGGAGATAGACTTGCGAGGGGCCTGCAGACGAGATATGGGGAGGTATGGGGGAGATGTGGGGAGATATGGGGGAGATAGACTTGCGAGGGGCCTGCAGACGAGATATGGGGAGGTATGGGGGAGATGTGGGGAGATATGGGGGAGATAGACTTGCGAGGGGCCTGCAGACGAGATATGGGGAGGTATGGGGGAGATGTGGGGAGATATGGGGGAGATAGACTTGCGAGGGGCCTGCAGACAAGAGTAGGCTGCGAGTCAAGAAGAGGAGGCTGGTAGTGGCGGCGCAGGAGCGCGTGGTGTCGGCCCGAGAGGGAAAGGAGCCTCCACCCTTGCGCCGCCTGGTCACAGCTGCAGGTGTGAAGAGACGCTGTTCAGGGCTGCCGCAGAGGAGCCTCCGCCCTTGCGCTTCCTCCTCCCTCGGCAGCTCGAGGGCGATGCCAGCCTCGCGGAGGGCCTTGCAGAGCAGTCCTCGACGAGTGAGATCTGGGGAGATGTGGGGAGATGTGGGGAGATATGGCCTTGCAGAGCAGTCCTCGACGAGTGAGATATGCGGAGATGTGGGGAGATATGGGGAGATATGGCCTTGCAGAGCAGTCCTCGACAAGTGAGATATGGGGAGATGTGGGGAGATATGGGGAGATATGGCCTTGCAGAGCAGTCCTCGACGAGTGAGATATGGGGAGATGTGGGGAGATATGGCCTTGCAGAGCAGTCCTCGACGAGTGAGATATGGGGAGATATGGGGAGATATGGGGAGATATGGCCTTGCAGAGGAGTCCTCGACAAGTGAGATATGGGGAGATGTGGGGAGATATGGGGAGATATGGCCTTGCAGAGCAGTCCTCGACAAGTGAGATATGGGGAGATGTGGGGAGATATGGGGAGATATGGCCTTGCAGAGGAGTCCTCGACGAGTGAGATATGGGGAGATGTGGGGAGATATGGGGAGATATGGCCTTGCAGAGCAGTCCTCGACGAGTGAGATATGGGGAGATGTGGGGAGATATGGGGAGATATGGCCTTGCAGAGGAGTCCTCGACGAGTGAGATATGGGGAGATGTGGGGAGATATGGGGAGATATGGCCTTGCAGAGGAGTCCTCGACGAGTGAGATATGGGGAGATGTGGGGAGATATGGGGAGATATGGCCTTGCAGAGCAGTCCTCGACGAGTGAGATATGGGGAGATGTGGGGAGATATGGGGAGATATGGCCTTGCAGAGGAGTCCTCGACAAGTGAGATATGGGGAGATGTGGGGAGATATGGGGAGATATGGCCTTGCAGAGCAGTCCTCGACGAGTGAGATATGGGGAGATGTGGGGAGATATGGGGAGATATGGCCTTGCAGAGGAGTCCTCGACGAGTGAGATATGGGGAGATGTGGGGAGATATGGCCTTGCAGAGGAGTCCTCGACGAGTGAGATATGGGGAGATATGGGGAGATGTGGGGAGATATGGCCTTGCAGAGGAGTCCTCGACGAGTGAGATATGGGGAGATGTGGGGAGATATGGGGAGATATGGCCTTGCAGAGCAGTCCTCGACGAGTGAGATATGGGGAGATGTGGGGAGATATGGGGAGATATGGCCTTGCAGAGGAGTCCTTGACAAGTCAGGGACTTGCAAGCGGAGATATGGTGAGATAGGGGAGGCTTGCAAGCGGAGATATGGTGAGATAGGGGAGACTTGCTAGCGGAAGGCAGAGCAGACTCGACGGCTCCGGCGAGGCGCGAGGAGCGGGGAGGAGGGCTCTTGGGCCCTGCGCCCCGCCCGCCCACTCGCTAGCACTCGAGCTCGCTACTGCTCGCGTCTCTCTCTGGCTGGTAGGCGGCACCTTGAGAGATGGGGAGAGTTGGGGAGATATGGGGAGACCTCTCTCCCGCTAGTAGGCGGCACCTTGAGAGAAACATTTCCGAGACATTTCCGAGACATTTCCTAGACATCTCTCCCGCCAGCAGGCGGCACCTTGAGCCCTGCGCCGCTCTTGCCGACGACGCTGCCGACCGCCTCACTGGGCAGTAGCACCTACGATTGGCTCGAGCGTGTGCTGTCCTGCGGTACGCTGCCTCTCCGACCGCCTCGCGATGGGGGCGGCGTCACCCGCAGGTGGACGAGAGATGTCTAGGAAATGTCTAGGAAATGTCTAGGAAGTGTCTAGGGCGGCGTCACCCGCAGGTGGACGGGGCAGGAGGTGCCGTCTGGGCTGCGCAGGCTGGAGGGCTCCGGCCCCGATCCTATGCCACACACCGTCAAGCGTACACGCGTGATAGCGTACACGCGTGATAGGGCTTGAGCCGGCTGGCGGGCTCCGGCCCCGAGCCTAGCTCGCGGCAGAGGAGGTCGAGGTGTGAACAAGGACGTGTCTAGGAGGTGTCTAGGAAGTGTCTAGGCCCCGAGCCTAGCTTGCGGCAGAGGAGGTCGAGGCAGCGCAGCTGCTTCGCCACGGGAGGCCGGATCGTGAGCAGGCGGCCACCAAACCACTCGCCACGCGCGAGCTCAAAGTGGGCGCCGCTCTCCTAACGAAACCCAGTCCGGGTGGCGGCTCAGGGGTCACAGCCGGGGAGGCTGCAGTCCCACCGTGGGCGCCGCTTCCGCCTTGCGGACACTTCCAGGAAGTGTGTCTAGCGTAGGAGAGTGTCTGGAGAGTGTCTAGAGCTGCTTCCGCCTTGCGGATGTCGCGCAGGCCGGCGCCCGCCTTGCCGACCAGGTGGCCGACCCGGATCGACTCGAGCAGCAGCCGCGCCGACCCGACCGGCGCTGCCGAGACCGGGTGCGGTGCGAGAGGCCGGCCACCCATCCCCATCATGCCGCCCGGCGCCGTGACGGGCGCGAGGCTGGGCTGCGACATCATCTGCACCATGATGTGCTGTGCCTGCTGCACCTGCTCCGGCGTGCCCGTCAGCTGGATCTCGCGGTCGCCGTTCTCGAGCGCCTCCCTCGGCACGTGGGCTCGGACACGCGCGAGGCGCCAGAGGTGGCGGAGGCCCGAGCCGCCCGGGCCGATGACCTTTCCGATGCGCGAGCCGGGGCAGGTGACGACCACGGACACGTACATGGGCTGAACGACGCCCTGCGGCTCGACATGCCCGAACATTCGGGCCAGAAGGGCGACAACTCTGACGCAGGCTGCCAGCGATTGCCACTTCGCCCCCCTGAGGGTTCGGCTCAGACGCGCCACGGGAGGACTGTACAACTTCCGATCAATATCTGTGAGCACCCACAAGCGAGCTTTTGCTCTTTTACTACCCAGACGTCGAGACATTGTGTGTCAGCGCACCCGCTTTTTGATACTCCTCAAGCTCAAGATCGGCGAAAGTTGTGTCTTCAGCGCTCCCCCCGCAAGGGCGCGCGATACAGAGAGAGAGAGAGAGAGAGAGAGAGAGAGATCCGCCTGTGGTGTTGGGTGCGAGGTCGTGGAAGCTTCGATCCCAAGGGGGGGAGCTGATCCCACTCGGTAACCAACTCTCAGGGGCAGTAGGTGGGCGGGCTTCAAGCGCGCTCATCTCGAACGACAAGGCGTCGCTACGCGCGGTCTTCCGCGGGGGGAGCTTCGTCGACGGGTGCGGGAGCGCAGCGCAGACAGTGCTGCGGCGATGCCTCCGGCTGTTTGCGGCGGGCGGCTTGCTGCTCGCGGCGATGGCGAAAAACTCGTCTCGTGGCACACCAAGGGCTTATGCTCTGTCGAGACGTGAGGCGTATGCGCCCAGGAGGGGAGGGCGCATGCGTAACGACGCTGCTAGAGATGCCTTTCGGGGCCCAGAGATAAAACTTCTGATGCCATGCGTGACCTAGTAGTGTCCCCAGCTATGGGCGTGTCCACGTTGGAGCCAGGTGTGGTGTGGACGCGAGAATAGCTCCGCCGTTCATGGAGGCAACCGATGCGAGTCGACTGGTGTGTGTCGTCGTGGTTTCGTATCAAGAATTCTCTCTCTCTCTCTCGCGCGATACACACTTTCTGAGATGCGAATCAGTAAGTGTAGGAAGCAGCCGGATATAACTGGGGCCCCGGACGTAAGTGTATGATACGTTACGCACTTAGCCCCGTGCGCACTCGTCCACTCGACCGCCCTCGCCTCTCTCTCTCTCTCTCCCTCTGTCTGTCTGCCACAGCGCAGGCCGCAGCGCAGCACAGGCGGCGCTGCGGCTGCGGCGGCGCGCGAACTACCCTAAATCAGGAGGGGGGGAGGCACCTCTGGACGAGCGGCCCTCTCAGGATGCTCACTCCTCGAGGTCCTTGCGATCACTTGCGTCCGAACGGCCGGGATGGCGGACGCTGCTGCCGGGGGGCTGCGCTGCTCGCCCTGGCGATCCCGTCTGAAACATCGCCCGACGAGACTTCGTCCGCGCTTCCGGCATAGACGGCCCAGCCGCTGGAGCGCCCGCGGCTCGACGTCGAGTCGAAGCTGCGCACGGATATGGCGAAGCCGTCCACGCTCTCTTGGTGCGTGACCCACTCAAGCGCGCTCCACTGCGGCGGCGCCGCCGTGTCCGGGGGTATCATGACGCCGGGGGGTGGCGACGGTGCGCGCCGCCGGAAGCGCTTGGCCGTCCCGCCTCCCTTGGGGCGCTCCGTCGCCGCCCGGCGCTCCGTCGCCGACCGCGGCGGCGGGCCGCCCTCGCGCGGCGCCGACGAAGCCGTTGCCTCGCGGCCGGCCACCAGAGGAGTGGTCGCCGCCACGTCGTCTTCTGGCAAAGCGCCCCTCTCCACCGGGCGTAGGTCAGCGTATGCCCTCGACCTCAGCGACGACGGCGACAAGAGACCTGCGCCGCCGGTCGAGGCCGCGAGGATCGCGGACGCCAGCGAGGGCTCCGTCGAGACCGGCGCGTCGAAGGACGCGGGTGGAAGCTTCTCGGAGCTCAGCCGCCTCAGGTGCGCCTCGAGATGGTCGACGCCGGCCTCGACGTCCACCGTCGAGTGGCGGGCGCGCACGCGCTCCACTGTGGGGGTACCGGCGGCGGACCAGCGCGCGGAGCTGCCGCGCGCGTGCCGGAAGCTGCGCTGGAAGCTGTGGCGGGCGCTGTAGCGGACGCTGGACCAGCGCGAGCTGGACCAGCGGCTCAGCGGCGACTTGTAGCGGCAGATGCGGCGCACGACGCAGAGCATCACCAAGGCAGCGCACCTGGCGGGCGCGAGGCAGAGCGCTGGCCTCTTAGTATGAATACTCTCAGCATGCGCGGGACGGCACTCGGCAGGCGATGAGGAGTGGTGGCGCACAGGACGGCGAGGGCGTAGGCGACGAAATACGCGATCCTGCGAGCGGCGGCGGGAGGAAATTGTAGCGAAGCAGCGGCGGTCCAGTGGTGTGGAGCGGACTCTGCGGCCGCGCTGGCAATGGTGGTGGTAGTGGAGCCGGGGGAGCATTGCTCTGCTATGTAAGCAGTCCTATTCCAGTCGGTGGCCGTGCCGTCGTCCATTTTGTCAGCAGACCACCACGGTGGAGAGCTGGGCGAAAGGCTCGGCGGCGGGCTCAGTGGCGGGAGGATCGGCGGCGGCAGGAGCTCAGTGGCGTTCGGCTCAGTGGCGTTCGGCTCAGTGGCGTTCGGCTCAGTGGCGTTCGGCTCAGTGACGGTCGGCGGCAGGATCGGCGGCAGCATCGGCGGCATCGGCGGCAGGATCGGCGGCATCGGTGGCATCGCACTTACGGTGCCGAATTCAAGCGAGACCGGCGAGAAGAAGCGCTGCCCACGCTTTCTTTGTTTTTTAAGAGCGCCATTGTTGTTAATATAATACAGCAGACGGACGGACACTTGCTGTAGCCACATGGCACGCACACACTCACACCGCACCGCACCCCGCACCCCCCCCCCCCCCCCCCGCCTCGCCTGAGTTGGAAGGAGATGGGAAGATGGAACAGCCCGAGGGAGAAGCGGAACCAAAATACCTATGGGAGGGTGAAGTCATGCACCACGCTGCCCGGGGTTTCTCACTTTCCGGGACAGCCCCGCCCTTGTGAGGCAGGAAAGTGGCGGCTACCCCGTACGCACTGTTTGCTATCACCCCCTCGCCGACCGCCCAGACTTCCCTCCCCCTTCTCCAACCCCGACGAGCCGACGCATGGTTGAGCCTCCGGCCTTGCGCGCCCCCGCCCTTCGCAGGCTGCCTCCCACCGACACTGCTGACACACCCCCGACACGCACATACAAGACAAACCCGGCGTCCTGCTCTCAAAAGAAAAGAAAAAATGGGAAGGAGGAGACCAGCGGGGGAGACCCCCCACCTATGCAACACCCCAGAGAGGGGCTGCCATCGCCGAAGCTGTGCCTAAGCATAACTCCCAAACCCGCAGCGGCCCGGGGGGCCTTGGGGGCAGCCTGCCGGACCGCTGTTGCACGGGGCGAAGCACCAGAAAATGAAAGTGGTTGATGGATTGGGCTGTCGGCCGTGCCTCCCCTCTTTGCGTCAGAGTGGGACCTACGCCGCGCCGGGTGGGGGGCGCGCCCGGTCCTCGACGGAGCCGCGCGCCCCCGAGCGACCCAGGCGGCGAGTAGTCGCCCTCGAACCTCCGGCATGTAGTAGACCGCGGTTAGCGTCCTCCCCCTCCCCTCTCCGGGGGCGCCCGCGGCATCCCGCCGCCCATCTTCGGGTGCGCGTTGCTGTCGAAGATGGCAAAGTTGCGCCTCGCAATGATGGTCGAGTGTACTTGCAGGAAGCGCTTGCGCTCGCCGCTGACCCGCCATCGTTCGCTGTCGGAGGATGCCCGGGCCAATTTGGCGTCGAAGTTGGTGGTGAACCACGCCGCCGCCTCCCTCCCGATGCCGCCGCGCGTGCTCGCCGCCCATGTCATGAAGTCGTAGTTGTTGGCGTGTCGCACGCCGCGGCTTTAGCTCTCCTCTTCGCCGCCTCGGGGTAGTCGGTGGCGAGGCGCGTGCCGTGCGCCAGCGGGCGCAGCATGCCATAGTGGAGTGCACCGCGGTGACGCACGTGCCGTCGTACAGTACACTGGAGCGGCCGCACTCTGCTCGCTACCCCCCCTGCACAACTAAGCTCATGGCCGACCCCCCCCCCCAGCAGCAGCGCTCTGCTGCTGGGGGGGTCGGGACCCCCCCCCAAGCAGCAGCGCTCTGCTGCTGGGGGGGTCCGGACCCCCCCCCAGCAGGAGCGCTCTGCCTGTGGGGGGTGCTGGCATCTCTGTACAGACAGCAGCTGTAAGTAGCATGCGTTCCAGTGGCGAGAATTTATAGTCGGCACCAAAATCAGTGGTCTCACCGGCGGGCCCTCCTACTGCCAACCGGGAGGTGCGGGGCACGCCAGCCCCTCTTCTACGCCTCTCGTGCCTCGCGGCTCCTCTGCTTCAAGGAGGGAAGATACGGCTCTCGCAGCCCATCGTACGCCGTGGCACAGCGGGGAGCACAGCGGGCTGTACAAGATATTGTTCCCTATCTTCGCATGCTCGTCGTTGGTGATATCCGCGCGAGGTCATACGCCACAGGCCAGCAATCACTCGATGATGAGACTACTGATGGAGGCGCGACGCTCTGACACCGAGTGTTGCTCGACACTGCGACACTGCCGAGTACCACGCAGCGCTTTCTCGCGAGGTGTATTGGCTC